GTTTAATAAATAAATAAATAAATAAATAAATAAATAAATAAATAAATAAATAAATAAATAAATAAGCAATCATCCTTGTCAACTAATAAATGATCAATAGGCTTGCCATACATACGCTGTTCCTTTAACTGCCGACGAAAGCGACGTGCGTCGTCACGTCGCAAAACAATCAGCCGCCATGGTCCAAGTCAGATGTTCAGATTAGTGCATTTATGGCGATTTATCGCTTTTGATGAACACCCCAGGCAGGTCGTAGACGTAGTTTGTTGTTCCTGGAAGTTTTATGTGTTTATTTATTAAATTATGATGGCTGACAGCAACGTTTGTCTTCATTTTCCGGGTATTTGAGACAGGAGGGAGGTGCTGTATCGGTATGTTCACACTATGGACTTCAGAACTTCACAATCATTTCCATTTGAATTTGACAGCTTTAGATACTATTAAAAAAAGTTGGGGCTACAATTAAATGTTTCCAAAATGTGTTTTTTAATGGTTTTCCAAAATTACATGGATATATAAATAAGTGACTTAAGTAGCTGATTGGCAGAAAAAGAAAAAATATCAGCAGGTGGTTTTAATTTAGCTAATTATGTCAGATCCTTGCTGTTAGGGTTTCTGCTTTTATTTTGTGAAGAGCTGCTACAAAGAAATAAACACTCTATTTTATATTATAATAACCATGAACCAAAAACCTTAAATTCAGCTGGAAAACAAACATCGCTTGGAGCTTAAATGTGCTTTTTAAAATCTCAAATTCAATAGCTGTCATTATCTCCCTGTATGTTGTGATGGCTCACTGAAAGACGCAGAAGCAGCTTTAATTGTCCATATTTGCTAAAAAAATAAAACTAAAAAAAAAATGACATACTTTGACATAAAACATGTTTATGCATACTTAACGTGTTCAAGCTGGTTTAATAAATGATTTAAATAAATTTAAACAGTTTTTGTAATTATATTTTAGTGAGACTATACATACACTGCTCAAAAAAATAAAAGGAACAACGCACGCTAAGTCCAAGTAAATCAAACTTTTGTGAAGCACAAAGTACTCAATGTGAATATTTCACTGATTAAGATCAGGAGTTAGTGTGCGTTGTTTAAGTGTTCCCTTTATTTTTTTGAGCAGTGTATATTTGGGTAATATTTAAAGTTTTTGTTAGTCATGTTTTTACTTGTGTGGTATTGGAAATGTAAAATTGTCCTCCACCCCTTGAAATTCCCTATATATTCATTTATTGTTTTTCTTTCACTAACATATTTCAGGACCTGCACTGAGGTGTCTGAGCTTTCACAGACAAGATGATCTACATCTTAATGGGAGTCTCAGGCTCTGGGAAGTATGTACACTGTCTGATTCATTAAAATGCATCCAATTATGTTTAATAATAATAATAATAATAATGATAATAATAATAATAATAATTATTATTATTATTATATGTTTTTTATTTTTTTTTATTATTATTTTTGATGACCATAAGGAAAATAATCTACAATGCACTCAGATTTTGGTCACTAATTCATGTTTGTTTACAAGTTAAAGTTGCAGCTACAGCTTTTTAAAAGAACATTGGGCCTCATGCAAGAACATGTTCGTAATCTTATCCTAAATTTCTCTTACTTTTGTTCGTACAAAGGGTTTGTACGAACATGTCACGTCAGATTCAATAAACTCTTCTATCTTCAGGAAAAGTGCGTAAATGAGCTGCGTGAATTCCACCTGTTCGATCCAGCTGCTCGTGCACGCGAGAGGAGATTAGCATAATTACCACCCCAAAAACACCATATAAGGCTGTGTTTCCTGCCCCACATACCAGGAAGTGTCCATTCATAAATGGCATCGCAGTGTAAAAAAAGAACTTTATGAGTTCGGAGATTGAAGTCCTGCTCTCTGAGATCGAGAAAAGAAAATCTGTTCTCTTTAGCAGCGTCAGCTGTGGAATTAAAGGAGCTGCTTAAAGGAATGAAATGTGCTMTTAATGTCGTGTCTCCTGTGGGTCGTTATAGAAATAAAAATATAAATCATATTCATCTCTCTCTAGTCCCGCTTCAGTTTTTCTTTGGTCAAATATTTTTAATTTAAGTGTAAACAACTGTGTTACTGTGTTTACATTTATTCAGAAGAAGGGTGGTTGCGCACCGCTACCCCGGCCGTCTCCCCCCTTCCGGCGGTCGCAAGTGTCAGATGCGGTTCTGAAAAGATGTGTTTTAAAACGTCTCCAAACTTCAATTAATGCATAATTTAAGTTGTTTTTAGTTTGTGATCTTCATATTAATATTGTAGTGTTATACAACAGCATTAAAAGACAATTTAACTTAATCTAATCAATTTGTCGTTAAAATCAAATTCCAACTCAAACAGAATAGCCTATTGTCAATATAATTATGGAGTGTGATTTATTTTCAACTGGAAATATTTTCTAAATAACAAAATATAAAGTTATTAGTGAAGAAAACCCGTCTGGATAACAGCAGACTGACTGCTSGTAAAATATACGACAGGTCTGGACCACTCGTSAATTTTGTTCGTATCTGAAYAAAATSTTAGAATACGAAAACATTGGTGAATGCCACAAATTCTCCTCAATCACTCGTACGCACAACTTAAGAACAAATCTGTGCGTACGAACGCTTCTTGCATGAGGCCCAATGATTAAAGTGTTGTACAAAGTCTAAAATGTAAAACCAGGCATTAAAGTAACTTCTGGTTTATTTAGTGGTGAAGGTGGAGGCTGTTTAATGATTAATGTGACCCACTGCACAAGTATTTAAAACACACTGATTCAGGTACACTGAAGAGAACAGTTTTTAGAGATGCATTTTGTTTATTTCAATGTAACTCAAGAATCATTTTTTGTGACTTTTTGATTGATTTTATGTTGTATATTGTGTTTGTCTCCCCCCCCCAATACAGAACAAGTTTAGGAACATTTCTGTCAGAAAAGGTATATTTCCACACACTCACACATACACATTGCAAGCTGTCATTCCTGTATCCTGTTGCGTACTGACTCATCTCTTACTCCTCAGCTGGGCTGGCCTTTCTACGAGGGTGATAACTTCCACCCTCATGAGAACATTCAGAAAATGGCTCGTGGAGAACCGCTCACAGACCAGGTCAGCACACCAGTGTGTCAGCGTTTACGTTTTCTATGAGCTTTTATTCGTTTGAGGCCTGAAAACTCAGTGTGGATCTAACTTGTAGAACTGATCTCTTAAAGCCCGGTCTTTTGGGTGCTGCTGGTTTGCTTGTTCTAGCTGCACGTTTCTCAGACCTGCAGCAAAACGAAAACTCCACAGGTGGGAGGAGGCTTCGCTCGAGCACACAAATTCTCACGCCAGACCGTAGTTCTACAATTCATTTATCTTTTTTTCTTCTTCAATATTTATCTTTTCTCTCTGGTTGTCAGCTTTTAATATAAAGGGAACTCTTCAAACAAGTGACTGGCTGTCTGCCAGGGTGGAGTGTAGAGGCCGACAGGCAGTGAAGGCCTGCCAACGTTTGGCAGCGGCTCGCTGGAAGCTGTGTTTGGTAGCAGATGATAACCTCCCACTCACAGGTTTACTCTGACGTTCCGAGGAGAAATAACACCACTCTGTCCGACAAGCTGGCATATTTCGAAGACAGTCAACAGTTGGCACTTTTGAGATTTAACGATGACGCAAAGCGGAAATGTAAATAAAGGATTACTGTCTGACTTTAGAGYGAGGAAAAAAAAAACCATGCCTGTCGTACCGGTTGGCAGGATGGGTTTGGTGTAAACAAAGAGATGAGTGCTCAGAATCCCTGATGTAAGAGTGTGATTCAGACATGTGTAAACTAAAATATATTCTGGTTTTCAGATCAGGAGTCAAAGCTGGGATTGTCTTTTCACATCATGTTTAAAAATSACCTTTCAGTGACTGCTGATGGTTGTCTGTCTAGTATCAAAATATCTCAGGAATCAGTGGACAGATTTTAATGAATGAAAGATGACTGCTGCAGCTAATCGACCTTACTGCACATAAACATTGCTATTACTGTTCTTTTATAGATCTTGAGCTAAATTTGAGTGTAGTAGCAGCTCACAGTCATTTATCCTTTGGTTCTCAATTATTTTCTGTCATGTGAGCCTCCCCCCAGAAAACTTGAATCTTTTCACGCTCTCCCTGAATTGAAATGCTATTGAGAACCTTTATCCCTGATAATATTATTTATCTGTACAAACCACTGTGTGAATTTCTGGCACCAGCATTCTCCATATAATCAGTGCTGTATAAAGTACCACAAAGTGATACTTGAGTAAAAGTACAAGTATCTTATGAAAAAAATTGGTAAAAGTTAAAGTCTCCTTTAGGAATATTACTTGAGTAAAAATCTTAAAGTATCTGATACTTTTGTACTTAAATATTAAAAGTAAAAGTATCGGTTTAAAATGAGCAGCTAGATTTTCTGTGAGGACATTTGTTAGGAGGTGACCTCCCAAAAACAATACAAAAATGACTTTTATTAAAATAATTATTTTATGTTAAATTTAGGATGCACTAGTCTATCTGTCTGAGTTTACATATATCAAGGCTTCCCAAATCTTTTCCCCAAAATAAAAATCTATCTGAGGGCTGCAGCCAAATGCAATAATATAATTCATGAAATACAAATATTTCTTAAGTACAGTACTTTTATTTTAATGATTATGTCCTGCTGGAGTGTGACATGATTTGTCTGTGTACAAACTAATACGGTATCAGAATTTTATATATTTATTCTTCTCATTCAACCACAGTTAAATTCAGTCTATAGGAGGCACAATTTATATGGATAGATTTTATTTTTTACAGTAACAAGATGGAATAAAAACAAGCAAAAATGAAATGAAAGTAACAACTTTCTACTTCTTGCCTTTTTTAAAAATGTAAGTAGAAGAAAGTACAGATAATTGTGTGAAAATGTAAGAAGTAAAAAGTAGGCTGAAAAATAATTACTCGAGTACAGATACCCAAACATTCTACTTAAGTACAGTAACAAAGTATTTGTACTTGGTTACTTTACAACTCTGCTGATAATGGTTGTGGGACAATAATGTGGCTTCTTGCATCCACTCTCCTGTTATCCAAAAATGACCATCTATAGGCTTTAATTGTGTACATCCAAACCCAATATTCAAGACCTGGCCTTTGTTGAAGCAGGTATTTCATTATCAATCAATAACAGAAACAACAACAACAAAAAAAAAACTGTGTTTCAAGAGAAAAATACATTAATTTTGTTTGTCTTTCCAGGACAGATTTCCTTGGCTTCTCAAATTACATGAAATTATTAACAGGTGAGAATAACCCAAACTCATATATTCTTGTTTCACCACTTCTGAGGACAAAACTCTGACTGAGCATTCGTTTTTTATAAGATTTAATCCAACTTTTACCATATTCTTAAACTAAATCTCCATACAAATTCATGTCCTAGTTTTTTTGTCCTCATTACATAAGTGTAATTGTAAGAAGACATCTTCCTTGTTCTGATAAAAGTCAGAGAAGTTCAGAGTCAGACAGAGATGAAATGTAGAGGAGAAAGGTAAAAAATATGCAAAAGTGTGAAATTGTTGAAAAAGATCAAAAAGCATCAAAAAGGGTTTTGAAAATGGAGATGAAATCCGTAACAGCAGGAACGAGAGTTTAGGGGAGGAAAGACAGATTTAGTCAGTGGAGAATAAGATGTCAGAAAGCGTGCCATCTTTTTTTTTTCTAGAAACATCAAAGTGTTTTTCCTCCACATTCAAACTGACTTTTTATTTCACCCATTCTGCTGCTTTCTCTCCACGTTTCATCTTTTTAACTTCTTGAAACAAAAGTTAATTTAAATATTATCCAGTCACATCAGGGGTAGTTCAGATAAATCTCATTTCCTTTTTTCCCCTCTGTGTGTGTGCTGATGTTTGTGTCTGCCCATCACAGAGAAAGAAGTTCAGGTTCTGACGCTCTAATCGCGTGTTCGGCTCTGAAGCGTCTGTACAGGCAGATCCTCCTCCACGGCTCCTCGGCCCTCACTTCCTCTTCCTGTCCGCACCAGAGCATCTCACCTCCCACTTCTTCTGACGTATTTTTCCTCTACCTGCACGGCGACTATGATTTCATTTACCAGAGGATGGTGGCCAGGAAGGGACATTACATGAAAGCAGACCTGCTGCGTTCTCAGTTTGACATTTTGGAGCCTCCGACAGACGAGGAGAACGTGTTGCCACTGGACATCAGGAAGAGCGTCGCTGATTTGGTGTTGGAGGTGGAAAAGCATCTTCTCAGCCTGAAGTGAAGCAGTGACCACTGCAGCTGTTTGAAGTGGGATTGTTAGTCATTTAATTTATGCTCAGTCTGACACAGTTTTTCATCATCCACACTTTTACTGCAGTGCCTTGAAAATATCAGCGTTAAACCAGGAGTTGTTTTCACCACAGTTGTACATACATTTCTTCAAATCTACTGTACTGTACGTGATTTTAAAACATCCCACATTCATGCTTTTGCTTAAGCAATATTTCAAATTTTCAAACCTTTTTTCTGATGGTGATATTTAGAGGCTTTACTAAAGAAATGGAAACAAGTTGTTTTTGACAGGCAGCTGATACTGAAAAACCTACAAATGTAATACAAAAGTTTGTTTTGTTAAGTTGTGTGTTATGTAACACCAGTTGATGGGGCTTAGGAGTCTCTTGATGCCAGAATGATTTATCAAAGTTAAGTGGATTAACAAACTGAAAAATGCCTCTGATAATGGTCAGGTACTGAAATGAAATAGTTGAAGCAGCCAAAACCCAAAGAAAATAGTCTTAAAGTCTAAGGAGCTTTGCTCATGACCACTTTAAAAATGGTCAAAAAATCTAATATACCATACAACCTGCATAAGGACATTTCTATCATCTGTTGTCAGGATCTTCCTCATTAGCYGTTACAATAAAAATCATCACCATGTAAGCCCTTGTCAGTTAATTCAACCTAATCTGTATGTAGTTTAAATCTGAGTAAAGATGAAAAAGAAATAATTTTAATTCCAGACAGCCACATAGAAGCTCACGCAGTTAGAAATGTTTCATCTACTCATTACTTTTTCAGTGAAAAACAAAGAGTCTGATCCTTTGGTGTTTCTGGTTTAAAAAAGAACAAAGCTTGCAGAAAACATCTGAAATTCTGTTTTGTGTTTCAGCTAAGTTGAATATTTGAAACTGTAACAAGTTTGGATCAGGATGTATTCAGATGTGTGTTTCTGCTTTGGTTGGTATTAGCAGGACTTTTCTGTATAAGCACAAACTACTTTAGGAGCAGTTAGAGACCAAAGTGTGGTCTTGGTTATTGCTGTGGTGATTCAGTATCTGTGTTGGAGTTGTTTGATAACTGATTTTCACATTTTAATCTGAACAATTTGAATTAATGTTTTGCAGCCCCACCTTCAGGTAACATAAGCAATGGACAGGTTATAAATCTTTACAATTAACCAAAGAGATCAATGTTAAAAAAAGTGTTTCTTTTAATGAAATTAAGCCTTTTTATTTCCTTGCTCTGATCAGTAGCATAAAGTTTATAATAAAACAACAAAAACATGTTTCTACAGTTAGTTTTAGACCGCAGTTATTTTTAACATTTCTCAAAAAGTTCCTAAATAACCTTTGACAATTTATTCACTTTTGAAAAAATGTGTATTAAAATGTTTGAAATAAATATCAAGAAACTGCAAATTATGTGTTTGTTCAGTTTGTTGAAGTGTATTTTATGCACCGACATGAACTGTGTTAAAGACTACAGCACCATGAGGCGGGTCACACCGGGTCGAGTCGCTCGAGTTGAAAGTTTCTCATCAGAAGAAACGAACACAGCTCTGCTTCACACTGAAAACTGTTTTTATGTCGTGACTCATCTTCAAGCCTCAACCAGAATATTTTTGGAACTTCTAATCCAGAAGTCCCCCCTTCAGCTACTCCCATATCTCTCTCTCACACACGGAGATTAAACCCCCTCAGTCTGGAAGCAACAAACAAACACAGCCAAGTTGTCAAGCTGATATCATGCATATATATATTTAATAAGAAATTGTGTGTTTTAGTTTGGTAGCTGAGATCAGAGCAGAGTGAAGCTGGAAAGTGCAGATTTCTGACTCATGATAAATGTAAATTAGAATTAAGATTAAGTTGCATTATTTATTTAAACCTCAGACCTAAAATAAAAAAAGAAACAGTTCTGTGGTGTTTATTGTACACTAGATTTTAATATGGGAAGGAAAAAAGCTTGATTTAGAAAGCCTTTTTTAAAATCCCTGTATCACAACAATAATTTGTTATTCATCAGTGAAGCTAACAGTGATATTTCTGAGTGTAAAAGGAAGCCAGAAGATTTACGTCCTGATGAGCTCCTAAAGGCTTGTTCGTCTGAGGCCCACAGAGTTCAGCTCCTCCTCTTCATGGTGTAGCTGAAACGTAATTTATACATCATTAAATTTTTAAAAACAGGTTGACAAATGATCAGCCAGGTGGATCCAAGCAGAAAAGCYTTTATGCTTTTATTTCCTGCAGGATTTTCAGACTAATTTCATTCTGTTAGGGCGCAGATAAGTTGTACCTGATTGTCGCTGTTAGCCAGTTCCTGCAGCATCTGATGCACAAACTGCTGCTGCTGCTGCTCTGTCACCGTGGCAACGTGAGGGCTGCATCCTGACTGGCTGTCCGGGGCAGTGTCAGCGTCACACTCCGGAGCAGCATTAACGCTGGCACCACTGGTTCCGAGCCCTGCCCTGCAGAGCAGACAGGTGTCTGTAAATGTTTTCGCATCTGTGGACCAGAACAGCCTGTCTGTGCTCACATGGGCAAGAGGGATGGAGCCTCTGCAGCCAGAGTCTGCAGGCCCTGTTGGATCTGCAGCAGAGCCTCCATGGCTCTGGGGTTRAACATGGCTGACAGAAGCTCTGGACTCTGCATCTGTGAGTTAAAGATAAATAGGATTCAGCTGMGGAGTCACTGCAGCTAATCACATCTGCAGCAGCTGCATCATAGGTAAAGGCTAGGACTCTTTCTATCAGATAACAACTTTAAATGCATAAATCATTACTTTAATATAAGGACTGGCATCAGTTTAGAAAAAACAAACAATATGAATACTGTTTTTTTTAATAGATGGCCTCCCTTCTCCCCTTATAGCCATCCTCTCCACACCATTATGTTTTTTTTTCTTTTTGGATGGCCTCCCTTCTCCCCTTATAGCCATCCTCTCCACACCATTATTATGTTTTTTTAGTAGTAGAAAAGGAAAGAGAAAGAAAAAAGTGAAATGTAATGAGAACGAGTGAAAAAGAGATTGGAAGATAATGTAAAATACAGTATATGTTGAGAAAACACAGGACAGCACACCGGACTTCTTGGCTCCACACCTACAAAACAAAGATAGCAAAACCACAGCAACAAAAATGCATATCTATATAATTATAATGACTATAGCCTTGCTGAAAACCATACCCATATACATATATAAATTTATACATATACACATAAACCTACCCCTACCTACATATCCAAACACTATATATATACATATATATACATACACATTCATATATATACATACACATACATATATATACACATACACATACATATATATATACATATATACACATACATACATATACACATACACATACATGCATACACATACATATACATGCACATATACATACATACACATATACATACATATACACATATGCACATATCATTCAGTCAGTGCCCAAATAGAAAACTCAGGATGTAAACACCTGTTTGTGTGCGGTTGTGATCATGCATGGATCTCTCCCGTGGAATGTTTCAAAGTGACTGTGGGGGGACCACAGACGCGACCCGCAAAGCAGGAAGCCGACATAAGGGAGACAAGTGCCAAAGACCCCGAGAGGGACCCCAAGCACGCAGCCCCTAGAGACACCCGCGCCGGAAGGGCCGCCCGCGCCGGAAGGGCCGCCCACCCACCCCCCAAAGAGGACCACCGGAGAGAACCGGAAGAGCCCCACCAGCGACCACATACAGCAACCCCTGGGGCCAGCAGCGACAAACTCACAGGCCCCGCCGGTACCCACCGTGCCAGAGTGGATCCAGGCACGGACACAGAGGCCCGGGCCCCCAGGCCGCACCCCCCCCCACCCAGGCCAAGGCCCGATAGGACCAGAGGGATAGGACCCCCGCCCCACCGGGCAGTCACCGGGCCGAGCCGGCACATGCCCAAGCGCCCAGCCCCGGACAACGAGAGCCACCAGCGCGCCGGCGGGCAAAGGCACAACCCACCAGAGGACAGCACGGCAGGGCAGTAGTGGGCCCTCAAATGATCCCGAAGAAGGGGCCGCCCATGTCCCAACCTGACAAAAATACAAGCATACATAAACACAATCACACAGTCCCACCCTCATACTCTCACCCACTCATTCAAAGACACACAAGATGGACACCACAATCCACTCACACTCCCCATACATACATTATGAATTCTGTTCTAAAAGAGAAAACCACTTGAGTGAATACACAGACCTGTTGCAGGAAGAGAGGGATTTGTTGTCTTATTTGCTGCTGCAGCTGAGCATTTCCTGAGAACAAGGGATGACTCAGCAGCATCTGAAAAACACAAAACAAAACAAAACAAAAAACAAAGTCAGCAGATTTGAGTTCTACCTGCTTCTGAAAAGAAAGAAATAGTTTGCTGTTCATGGCAGAAGTAGCAGGTGGGGATTTGATGACATCTACTGGTGAGGCTGAAAATGGCAACAAGGAAAAGGAGAACCAGTGACCTAAACTAAAAATAAAACGGCAAAAATGATTTATCATTTAAGAGAGTAGGTCATTTTTTATTTTCTACAAATACGAAAGCTTAACTTTGCTCCTACAGATACAGAACAASTCATTACTGACATTCCTCTGTAATGGCCTCATTCTGCAGTAACAAAAACAAAGCATTGTATACGAGGGACTATAAAGCAATAAAACTGTTGTAAATATTTCATTTTATTTGCACAGATAGGTCCGTCTACATCTCCTCCACGCTGTTTCTATGTACGTTGTGCACGCATCACCTGAGCAGCAAGGTCAGGGTTCTGGCTCAGGCAGTTCAGAAGACTGCTGACATATGGACCTGAGAGAAGACCCTCCATCAGACCTGGACAAGCTGTGATCTCCTCCAGGAGGGACTGCAGGCCTGAAGAAAACAAATCATAGAAACGTTGCACTTTAATGCCATTAGATTAATTAGAACACGCTTGTTTTGTTGCAGCTTATTTGTGTCAAGTGTGAGTTAGATTGTTTCATTATGTAGGTTTGCGTGTTGTGCCTGCAGTAGTTCTCTGAGAGCCTGAACCAGCTTTGGGAGAAGCGATCAGTCCTCTGAGGGGATCTGTGGAGTCACTGGAGAGGGCGGGTGTTGAGACTGTTTCCTCTGGTGTCTGATGATTTACAGATTATGCTGTCACAATTAGAAAGGACTTTTCTAAAAAAAAGAAATAGACAGCTTAAATAAATAAATACACAATCTTCACCTGTGATGGTTTAAGACCAGGTTGTATATTTGTTTCTGTTGCAGCTGTGGTGGACTCAAACAAATCCTCTAAATCTCCATCTTCATTTTGCAGCATTTCATCGATCATGTCAGGTTCCCTGATGACCTCCAGCACCTGGAGAGGAAGGAGACGTAGCAGCAATGTTTTATTTGCACATTTAATGTACTGAAATGACCACTGTGCCGCTCACATGCCTGGTTAATGATGTCTGCGTTGTTCAGCAAGCCTTCCACCTCAGGGTCTGTTTGCAGGAGCTGCTGGATTTGGGGGTTCGACAGAATGAGCTGTCTCGTCAGTCGAGGACTCGAGGTGGAGAGGATGTCCTGCACCAAGGAGCTGCGCAGAACACGGTGCATCATCTCCGGGTCACCCAGAAGCTGCTTCTCCATCTCGCTCTGCAGGGCAGGGAAGAAGCCTGGGCTGCTGTTTTCCAAGTCTTCCACTGAAACAAAAGATGCATTCAAAGGAACAGGGACAGTAAATGAATGAGTGAACAGAAGGGAAAAACAGCTGGAGTAAAGATCTTCTCTGTCTTCTTACCCAGACAGAGTGGAGAGGTGGGAGTCTGGGTTAAGTTCTCTTCAGTGTCTGGAACAGTGAGGAGCTCAGATTTGACCGTTTCTGAAGCTGGATCATCCAGTCGACCAGATTCAAGCTGAGGTCTGTGGAAGGTGGTTGAATTTAAAACCAGATTACAGATTCTCCTTCTGTACTAACAAATTATTATTTTTTGGAAACCTGTCTTTTGACATTCAAAAGACGTTTTACACATATACGTCAGGCAGAAAGATCTTCATCAGTTTTATTCAAATCAGCTGACAGTTACTGGTTTCAACTGGACTGACTTTAGATTTTTGTCACAAACAGGTTTTTGTTCAGAAATGTGTTCATGCTGAGTGGCATCCATTTCCTGTTAACTTTGACCTCAATCTGTAACTGATGAACTTAAAGCCTGGCTCAGACAAGCTGTGTTCTTACCTCATGCTTAATGGTTTATTAAATGTTTACAGCTAATTAACTGCATTATTAACTATTAGTCATTTAAAGCAGTGGTTCCCAAACTTTTTGTCTTCTGACCCACAAAATATCCAAGGCAAAAACTTGTGACCCCAAATATTACTGGTCTGAGCACACAAACTTTAATAACCCTAAAAACACAGGATTTTTGACAACCTAAACAGCTTATACACAAATATACACTCACCGGCCACTTTATTAGGTACACCACGCTAGTAATGGGTTGGACCCCCTTTTGCCTTCAGAACTGCCTCAATTCTTCGTGGCATAGATTCAACAAGGTGCTGGAAGCGTTCCTCAGAGATTTTGGTCCATATTGACATGATGGCATCACACAGTTGCCGCAGATTTGTCGGCTGCACATCCATGATGCGAATCTCCCGTTCCACCACATCCCAAAGATGCTCTATTGGATTGAGATCTGGTGACTGTGGAGGCCATTTGAGTACAGTGAACTCATTGTCATGTTCAAGAAACCAGTCTGAGATGATTCCAGCTTTATGACATGGTGCARTATCCTGCTGAAAGTAGCCATCGGATGTTGGGTACATTGTAGTCATAAAGGGATGGACATGGTCAGCAACAATACTCGGGTAGGCTGTGGCGTTGCAACGATGCTCAACTGGTACCAAAGGGCCCAAAGAGTGCCAAGAAAAGATTCCCCACACCATGACACCACCACCACCAGCCTGAACCGTTGATACAAGGCAGGATCGATCCATGCTTTCATGTTGCTGACGCCAAATTCTGACCCTACCATCCGAATGTCGCAGCAGAAATCGAGACTCATCCGGCCAGGCAACTTTTTCCAATCTTCTCTTGTCCAATTTCGATGAGCTTGTGCAAATTGTAGCCTCAGTTTCCTGTTCTTAGCTGAAAGGAGTGGCACCCGGTGTGGTCTTCTGCTGCTGAAGCCCATCTGCCTCAAAGTTCGACATGTTGTGTGTTCAGAGATGCTCTTCTGCCTACCTTGGTTGTAACGGGTGGTTATTTGAGTCACTGTTGCCTTTCTATCAGCTCGAACCAGTCTGCCCATTCTCCTCTGACCTCTGGCATCAACAAGGCATTTCCGCCCACAGGACTGCCGCTCACTGGATGTTTTTTCTTTTTCGGACCATTCTCTGTAAACCCTAGAGACGGTTGTGCGTGAAAATCCCAGTAGATCAGCAGTTTCTGAAATACTCAGACCAGGACTTCTGGCACCAACAACCATGCCACGTTCAAAGGCACTCAAATCACCTTTCTTCCCCATACTGATGCTCYYTTTGAACTGCAGGAGATTGTCTTSACCATGTCTACATGCCTAAATGCACTGAGTTGCCGCCATGTGATTGGCTGATTAGAAATTAAGTGTTAACGAGCAGTTGGACAGGTGTACCTAATAAAGTGGCCGGTGAGTGTAAATACTTATTTATAGTTATTTTGTGTTTTTGTAATATTTATAGGGAAAATATTACATCAGCAATTATTTTATTACCCTTTAAATATATTTCTGGAGATTATCCAAGGTGCTTCATGACCCAAAATTGGGTCCCAAGCCCAACTTTGGGAACCAAAGTGCAGTGGTTCCCAAACTTTTCAGCTTTTGACCCACAAAATAAACAGTAGCAGAGACCTGTGCCCACAACTATTTTTGGATGATAAACATTTGGATCAGGTCAACAAAACATGGGCATAGTAACAATATTTATTATACTACATTTATCCATTTAAAATATACTAACCTCACTCCTTTGTAACAACTAAGGCAAAAATGTAATTAATTCAGAAAATCTTGTCAGGACCCCACCTTGATGTTTTGGGACCCCACTTTGGGTCTTGACCCCAACTTTGGGAAACACTGATTTAAAGGATATCCTTTTTCTAAAGTGATACCACACGTTTCTGACCTATAAAAGTATTTTTAGACTCAGCAGGTAAAGTATGTTTGTAAAACCTTTTCTGTCTGTCTCAGTGTGTACCTTTGGATCATGCAGAGGCTGACTGACCCATTCTGCCCTTTAAGGTGACTCATGAGCTCTGAGTCAGTGAGAGCCCGGCCGGAGTGGATCAGCACCAGCTCCTCAGCTGAAGCTCCCAGGCGTTCTGACAGAGACCACTTCAACTGTGCACAAAAACATCCAAACACTTTGCTGGAACTACAAACACATCAGCAGTAATGATGGCATCTGATTCTGTCGGGCTCTCCTGACCTGTCCGATGGTGCAGTCTCCTCTGGCGCTGAAGTCTCTTCTCTCTCTGACACCTCTGATGACAACTCGGACCGTTTCAGATCTGCAATAATCACCAGCTTTTCCAGGATCATCCTCTGCCAAGCCTGACATCTTAGCTTTATCCCTTTGATGAAGATGAGCGGATCTGGAGCGATCAGTCTTGCACCGGAGGAGTGTGTGTGTGTGTGTGTCCCAATGACTCGGCAGAAAGCTGTAACTCGTCTGCAGTGACGTAAGATTTCTGTGCACCATTAAATGATACTTTAATTTTTTTGTGTCAAACACACTAAATCCAAATTAATAGCTTAATCTTTGAAATGCTTGAAGCCAGCTAATGAACATCTGAAGTAATAAACACATTTTGTACATAGTGTATCAAAGATTTACTATGACTTTATGAACCATATCTATAACGTCACCAGGTTTGTTGCTGTCTAAAATTGAAACACACAAAATGTAGACAAAGTTTTCTTCACTGAAGAGATTTTATTTACTCAGTGAGGAAAAAAAGCATACATTTGAAACAGTCGTTTTGACAACAAAACCCCTGAAAAGACTGGCCCAGAGTCTTGGGACAGTCCTTGGGATGCTGAGGCACCACAAAGGGGAAACACAGAGCACCCAGCAGGCATCTCAACACAAACAAAGTCACTCAGTTACTCTGAAAAGCTTCTGTAAATCTTGCTCAGTTGTGAACACAGCATGCCATGTTGGGAGTGTACGTTGTGTGTGTATGTATGTATACGTGTGTGTTTAGAGGGACATGCAGGCTGAATAGAATTCCCACTTTGGAAAAAAATTATAAAATAATAAAAAGAGAAGAGGATATTAATTTTGAGCAGTAGTTCTTTAGCTCTGCTCTTTTTCTTTTTTTAAAATAATCTCCAGACACGATTTGTTCCTCCTTCATAGATCCGACTCGGCAGCTTTCTTCCCCTTCTTGTTTCCCTGCAGAACAGAGGAAGTGTTTCAATGAAACCTGCTGTTATAGCCAACTAATTGTACTTGATGAGGACTCAGGTTCAGGTGTACAAATACAGATAAAAACCTTTTTTTTGGTCTTTCACAGATAATTTCATTAAAATAAGAGGGAATACTTAAACTTACCTGATGTTTTGGTTGTTCAGACTGTAGCCCTTTAACTTTAGATCTTTCTTGTTCAAGAGCAGCATGTAATAATGTTACCTGAACATGAGGATGAACTCATTAGGAAATGTCCTTGTGACCAACAAACCAACATCCCTCCCCCTCGAGTTACATACCTGTGATGATAATTCTTCTTTAATATGCAGCAGTTCTTCTACCTGTAGAAGAATTTCTGCTTTGTCCTTCACTGAAAAGAGATGAAAACATCAGGAAACACTGAGCAGAACATCTGACAGCATCATTTGGGCAGATGATGTRATGTTCAACTCACTCTCTCCCTGCTGGAGCATCTTAAGGAGCTGGGCATTTCTTGCTTTCACCTCTTTGTATTTCACCTGCAGAATTGACGAGAGCAATTATTTGTGTTGTGAAATCGAATTTGATGGTTATAATATAAAAAGCAGGCGTCCCTCCTGACCTCCCACTGTGAGATGGTCTTCTTTAGCTGATCAATCTCCCGGTCCTTCTTCTCCAGATCGTACTTCAGTTGTTCTGTTCGAGGGTCCTAACAGAACAGAGGATGTCGCTCTTAAGTCTTTCTTATAAAACATCTTTTTCTCTAGCTATATTTAGTTTACTAAAAGGAAAATTTAACTCATCTCATTTAAGTAGCTGAGGTTTGGTAAATAAGAACAGCCAGGTGTGTTTTTAGTTGTCACGACTCACCGGTTCGTGTTCCGTGGATGTGTTGACCTCTTGACCCTGGCTGTTAGAATACTGCTCACGTCTTTTCTCCCTTTGGATAATTCGACTTACATCATCTTCTAGTTTATTGAAAAAACGCTCCTCCTGTCCGGTTCTTAATGCTGGGTTTGACACTCTGGAGTCCTGGAAGAGAAATTGGTCAAAATGAAATAAAAGCACCTTTTTGAAAATGTTTGTCACAAAAAGGAAAAATATATATATATATTCTCACATTATTTTGTATATTGACCAATCTGTTCTTCCCATTGAAGAATTTGATCATGCCGTCATAAAAAAAGTCTCTTACTCACCTCCTTTTCTTGTTTTCTACTAAGATGTTCTGCAAAGCAAAAGCAAAACAAAAGTTTAATTTTACACATTTTTAAGAACAAACAACATCTGTTAAATAAATGATAACATTTTTAGTCTAGACAAATCTAGTTCCAGGTTGTGTGCACCTGAGGGCAAATACATTTTAATTTGAAACTATTTTGCAGGTAATCAGCTGATTTTTCTCTCCAGTACAACCTTCAGCTTGAAAGTCCTGCAGAGAAACCGTCTTTTTGTCTTTTGCCTGTTGATTCTTCTTCTTGTCCTTCTTCACCCCGCCGTCTTTAGCTCCTCGTGATTTAGGTGAAAATGCGTTTGTGTTGCTC